AATCAACAAATAGCATGGGTTAAAATTTTGTGTTCCCTCCTGTTAATTTTTGTGTTCCCAGAACGGTCCCACCTGTTATAGTTACACAACATATACAAGTATTCTGGAAATCAAAAATTTTTATGGGTCGTACACAAACAAATATATTTCGATAAAATACAAAGAATAAAATAATTTTTTACGGTAGAGTTGCAAGGGAGAGAACGTACGGCCCCTAAACCGTTTAATGTACGCCCCTATACTTTGGCTCTACCAGGTGAAAAACTATTTATTACTATTGTTATAATTCATTTCCCCATCACCACTATCATCGTCTTCATTAATATTATTATTATCGTTAAATGTAGATTTATTTTTTCCTTTACTTTTGAATTCTATCCAAGATTTGATTGCTCCTATAGTTCTGGCGTCGGATTTAGTTGTTTGATTATAATAATTTTCTACCGCTTTGCTCGATACAACCTTTATTTTCTTCTCCTTTCTAAGATCACTTACAACTTCAGCAATCATATCGGCTTTAGAATAATCATTTTCTCGCCTGGTCTTGTCAAAAAGGTTTTTAAATTTCTGAACGACTGGATCTGAAAACGAAGTTCGTCTTGAAGCTAATACACTCACCTGCCAAAAGTATCCGGACAAAATGTAGATCATGTAAATTTCCGTGACATTTCTGGGTGTTTTACACAAAAATACTCGAAAACTAGCGAGAAAACGTGGCTTTTTGTCCTAAGTAACTGCACTTCAAATGTTCGAAATTGCATATTTCCATTAATATTTATAATCTAATAAAATATAGTTTTTGGGTGATATGTAAATTCTTAAAATCGTTTAAAAATGTTGGTTCCCAAGACTTTTTTTTGTCCCATAAAATATCCCACATAATAATAAAAAGTCTGAAAACTCCATAAAAGAATTTAAAATATAATGAACAAAATAAAAAAAAGATGATTAAAATTCGTCAGAAATTGATAGAGTTGCATGTATTGAGAAAATTTTCGAAGATTTTTCAAAAATCAAAAAAATCAAAAAAATCAAAAAATTATTGTTTCGATTTTTGAAAAATTTTCGGAAATTTTCTCAATACATGCAACTCTATCAATTTCTGACGAATTTTAATCATCTTTTTTTTATTTTGTTCATTATATTTTAAATTCTTTTATGGAGTTTTCAGACTTTTTATTATTATGTGGGATATTTTATGGGACAAAAAAAAGTCTTGGGAACCAACATTTTTAAACGATTTTAAGAATTTACATATCACCCAAAAACTATATTTTATTAGATTATAAATATTAATGGAAATATGCAATTTCGAACATTTGAAGTGCAGTTACTTAGGACAAAAAGCCATGTTTTCTCACTAGTTTTCGAGTATTTTTGTGTAAAACACGCAGAAATGTCACGGAAATTTACATGATCTACATTTTGTCCGGATACTTTTGGCAGGTGAGTGTAGCATAGCGGGCTTAAATTTGATTGGTTGATCGACAAGGTACATAATCAATAGAGTTCATTATTAAATTTTTCGTCATCTGACTTTAAACCCTTTTCTGGCCACCAAAAATTATTTCTGGCTTATAAGACACATACCAATAAAAAGCTTAGGTTCTACTTAATATATTTTCAAAGTAATTCGAAAAATGACGAGGTAATTCAGAAGTTAGATAAGAAGAACTTTCAAGCATTCACAGAAAAACGGCTAAACTTTTTTGAATTATTTATAATTTATTTTTTTTTTTTATGCACACGTATATATTTTTATTTTATTAGCTCAACAAAATGTTCCAACAAACCACAATACTGTGACCTTGAAGGTAAATACAACATTGAGTGTGACTATGAACGAAATGGTGCTTCTTTCATTACGGAAAATGCGAAGATACCTGAGGAGAACATACATCTAGATTTGGTAGGAAAAGCTTTATGTAGAAAACATCACAACAAATTAATTGTTAACGCAGGAAAAAGACAGAAGATTGCTAAAAAACAAGAATGTGGACATCCAAAACACAAGGAGTATTCAGTGTCTTCATCAAAAGATACAAAACTTGATAAGGCACCTATTCGTTTAATTGAATTTTTTAAACTTCCATCTGACACACTTTTTTGCAATCATTGTAAGTATTCTAGTGATCATGATGAAACATTTCAAAACTATCCACATCCAGCATCAAGACCAAAAGTAACACAAGAAGATGAGTTGATAAAATTTCACAACAATACATATGCATTACGAAGTGATATTTTATACACTGAAGACCAGTATAAAGAATTAGAAAAAGCTTACCAGGAAATTTGTGAAGAATTAAAAGAAGCAAAATTAGGTATATTTTTTGATAAAAAATTCTTTTATATTTAGGTTATTTATTATTTATGTATAAGTGTTAACAATTTAGTTTCTCAGATTTAATTCCATTAGATAAAAAGATTCGTTTAATGACTGGTGTTTTATATACTAAACAAAGAAAGGAGAATCAAGACCCTATTTTTGATCCTGATGAATTCAAAACTATGCTGGAAGATACAGAACCATCACTAAAAGGCTTTTTTGACTCTCTTTATACTGGAACTAATCCAACATCTAAGAGTCACATGACCAATGAAAAAAATAAAAAGCGCTTGGTGATGTTCTGTTATTTTTTAGCAGGCTTGAATAATAAGTTTATTAATGGCATCAAAGCAGAAATAGGCTACATGTTGGATGATGCTGGTGCATCAGCATCAGCAATTGAAACATTTGCAGGAGCTGGAATAAGTATTAGGCGTGAAACAGTTACAAAACATAAAAAAAGGAATGAATTAATTCACTCTGAG